AAATTATATTACAATTACTTCTAGGTACAGGTAAATTTTAAGCTATTTTTACTAGTCTAAGATAAAAAGAAGCCAAATCAATGAGTAGATGTTTTTGTTTAAATCATCTGGTGGCGAGTCCAGTCAGCCCAAAGAAGTCACGATAGAAGACGGCAATGATGTAATGTTTACCGTTTGTGATCAGCCGCTTGTTTTAATCTTTTCATGGAAAACAAAAATATAACCTTAATTACGTCATTGCCGTCTTCTATCGTGACGTCATGATTGACGAGCATTACGGTCTGTTTTTTAGTGTGGCCTTGGTTTTGCTAAAGTTTATATGATGAGTAAAACTGTAAAAATGTTAAATTTATGCGAATAATAAACAGTCTTTTATTGCAAGTATTCTTCTAACCTAAACTTAAAAAAAAAGTTCTTCCCAAAATTATTGGGAAAAAATTCACAAATACGGTTATGTTATGTTATTGGTTTGGGGGAGGGGGGTGGTGGGGGGAATCCTAAGTGGCGCTGATTCGGGTGTTCGCTTAACTCTGAAAAATTCCTAGAACCGGCCCTGCAAACAACCATCAAACCTGAAACAATTACAATCATTCTTAGGGCTATGTAATTTTTACAGAAAACTTTAAAGCAAACTTTGAAAAATTAACGTTGGGTTTCAGTCATATGTTAAGTAACAAATCAAAATGGCATTGGACAGAACAAGAAAACAGCTTTTTAACAAGATAAAGTCAGAATTTTTGAAGTGTGTAATGCTTAAACATCCTCAGTTTTCAAAATCATTCTATACTAGCAGAGTACCCGTCCTTCGTACCGGTACGAGAATGGCATATAAAAATAATGTTTAAATACCTTTATAAATCATACATTGTGGTATAAAAAGTTAACAAATACACTTTTTCTTGATCAAAATCGTGTGTTTATAAACAGGAACACCTATTAATTACATACTGAAAGTTAGGTTATAAAAATAATAACAAATGTCTGACAAACATTAAACAGCTGAAAACCTTTGAAGGGCTGTAGATCGTAGCCCTTGGAAAAAACGTAAATTCTAAGAAAGTCCGGCAAATCTACGCTTTATCCCCTTTAATTTGAGACATAAATCTTGTAGATCGGTCCAGTAATTACTGAGAAAACAGACTTACAACTGTGTATTAAATATATAGATATAGATTCCCCCATGTTAATCTTATGGGAGGAAACCCAACTTTGATGGAAGATCCTGCCCAAACTAATTAAGATATCAAAATACCCCCGCCACAGCAAACCTGCCGACTAAGCGAATTTCCATTTGCCTGAATTGATTTTCAATTGAATGTATTTAATTAACATTAGGTTTTATGAGTACCTAGGCTTGGTGCTAAAGGGAGGGTAAAAAAGTGTGTTTTTAGTAAAATATGAATAACTTAGTTATACCTTAACTCTCAGTTTTACCTTCAGGTACTGAGGTCTCTACTCTGACAGTACCCTCCGGATGATGCAGGAAGTGCGTAAAAGGCACAGGTCAGCCATAGGCAATAAGCCAAGAGATGTGAGGTCTGATGAAATTCGATCAAATTTTCGCAGATCGCAGACGTACCTGACGCACATGTTTTGCACCCTCTGCATTAGACTCATGTCCCTTACTGATATAACATTACCATACACTGGAAGACAGTAATCAAACACAGACAGTACAAGTGCCTGCATAAGCCGAAATTTGGTGGGTTTGGGGAACAAGTCACGATGCCTGTACAGCATTCTCAGACGACCTATTGCTCTCTGGCATGCGTAACTCACATGATCAGAAAAGGAGAGCTCAGGATCAAAATGAAGACCAAGAAGCTTGGGAGCTTTACACTCTTTGAGCGGAATTCCACCAAGGCATACACCAGACAGGGGCTCAGACCGAACAACCCTGCTGACAGAAAAAGTCACCAATGAACATTTGTCTCTTGTTCAGTTTGATGCCATGGGACATAGACCATGCAAAGACAGAATCCAAATCAGAATTGAAATCAGAGACTGCTTGATCTGCTGGGTCAGCGTCATGCTGAAAAGCCAGCTGAGCATCATCAGCGTATGAATACAACCGACAATGATGCAAATCTCTTCCCATAGATGCGGCAAACAAAGTAAACAGGACAGGTCCAAGACAGCTGCCCTGTGGGACTCCTTTGGACTTTTGCAAGGGGGCGGAGATCTCAGATCCAACTTTGGTCTTTTGGCATCTTCCGTTCAAGTAGGAGTGAAACCACAACACTACCTGCTGGTCAAATCTGTAGTGATACATCATGGCCAACAATAGATCGTGATCAATAGAGTCGAAGGCTTGCGAAAAATCCAGCATTGCAAGAGAGGTACACCTCTTTTCAGCTCTAGCTTTTATGACATCATCACAAAGCAGTAACAGAGCAGTTGAAGTACTGTACCCCCTACGAAAGCCAGACTGTGTTGCTGGAATTATTGACTCCAACTCCAGGAAATCAACCAACTGAGAGACAACAATAGTCTCCAAGACCTTGGAGAGGGCAGGTAACACAGAGATGGGGCGAAGATCGGCCAAAGAAGAGGGAGCACCAACTTTGGCTAGAGGAATGACAATGGCTTCCTTCCAGTCATCCGGAAACACCCCCGTAGCCAACGAAACATTCAACAGGTCCTCAATACAGTACGGACTTACCATCTTTATCATGCTGATCGTTATCTCATCTAGAAATGCCAACAGCCATAGAGGTGATCTTGTTTATGGCATCTTTTACTTCTCTTACTGTTACTGCTCTAAAAGAAAATGTGTTTTCTACACACTGGGAAATGTTAGTAGAAATGTAAGTAATAATCAAGAGTTTCAAAGTGAAATTGAGAGCCAGTTCCCATCATTGAAAAATGTGTATTAATTTCATCTGGATTTCTAAGAAATGATGGGAGTTCAGCATTTTTCGCCTTAATTGCCCCACTCATCTTATTTTTTTTTCCAAAAACCCTTTGAATTTGAGCATTTTGCTAATTCTCTCTGGAAATAATTTTGTTTGGCTCTTCTAATAGCAATGTTTAGACCATTTCTAGCTCTACAGTATTGATCTTTGTCCATGTCATTTCTAGAAATCATCAGCTTTTTCTTCCAAAAACGAGAAGTTAGTTATTGATAATTTGAAGAATAATGGCGCACTCAGTGAGAAATTCAGGGAAATGTTTAAAATATACAGTGACATATTGTTTAAAAGGAAAAGTATCGATGATGACAAATGGTGTGTTTGTATTCCAGAAGTAATGATTGAACAGCTAATTAAGTTCACACATTTAAAATTTTGACATCTGGGGGGGTACAACATTTTATTTATCTTAAGAGAATATTGTGTTTTTCCACGCATGGAAAAAATAGTCAAGCAATCACTGGGTAAATGTTTGCTCTGCCAAAAGGCCAAACATGGAAATAAGAAACAGCTGGGTTAACAGCCAATATTGCCAAAACAATTAAATGACTTAGTTTGTGTAGATATCATTGGGGAGTTGCCAACAAGTGTAGGAGGTACTAAATATATTTTTTCAGTGGTTGAAATGTATTCAAAATTTGTGAAATTATATGCCATAAAGAAGGCCAATACAAAAACTTTGGTAGGCAACATTTTTAATGACTATCTACCATTAGTATGTGATGTAAAATGCATATTAAGTGACAGGGGAACACAATTTACTGCTAATGACTGGGACAACACACTAAACACTAAAGGTATTAAAACAATACACAGTTCAGTATATCATCCACAATCTAACCCGTGTGAGAGGGTAAATAAAGAAGTTAATAACATTTGTAAGATTTTATGTCATGAAAAGAAAAAGAAAAACCCACTAAGTGGGCATTATGTTTAAATTTCATTGATAATTGTCTAAACCACTCAGTACATGATTCCACAGGTCACATTCCATATGAAATTATGTTTGCTAGGCCTAGTGACTACTTTTTAAATCATTTAATCACATTTCCACCTGAAAGAGAATTTAACTATGATCAGAAAGTAATGTCAGTTTATCAGAGGTTGGTCAGTAAAGCAGAAAGTAGGAAAAGTAAGTATGATAAAGGGTTAAAAGGAATAAAGTACAATATTGGGGATAGTGTTAGTAAAAACGAGATGTAGGAATTGGCTAACTCAGGAACTCGCTAACTCGGTTGTGTGTCGGAACTGGCTAACTCTGGAACTGGCTAACCGTCTCAGTCAGGAATTTACTAACTCCGGAACCCGCTTACTCGATTTTGTCCCGCAGCGGAATTCGCTAACTCTGGAAGTTGCTAACCCGGCCGCGCCCACTGCATGGAGCGTTGCCAACCTTGTACAACAAAATAATCGTACACTGCTGTATTTCAAAATGTCAGTGTCAATGAAGATACAGTAAATGTTATTGTTTTTTGTTATCAATTCCACTTTTAACAGATAACTAGCCCAAAGTAATTCAAAAAGAATAAAAAAATAATGAAAAAGTGTTTTTTTTAATTTAACTGTACAATGATCAATTAAATGTTTATGGTTTTGATCTTTAATATAAACGAGAGGTCGTCCAGTGGTCGAAACTCAACCAAAAATATGTAATGTACTGTACTCACTTCTCTATTTTCACCCCACACTGTAAATAAAACATGTGATTGGAGTTTCTTCCATTTGTTTTGATTTTCTGTTTATATTTCGTTGTTATTTCGTCACCAGCATGGCAACGCATAAGATCCATGTTAATTTTTTCAAATTTTTAAACTAATTTTTTGTGCTTATCTTTGAGCCTATTTAAATTTATAAAGGGATTCTGCACACCTACAGCAAAATTGCTTTCTAACGGTATGCGCAGATTTACCCCACGACGCACACAAGCTGAGAAAAAAGGTTTTAAAGAAACATGCTTGCCTATTAATATATAGATGCCATCAGTATAAAACTCAGTTTAATTCTTACTAAATAATTAAACCTCTACGAAATTAAGCTAAAATCCAGGTATATCTACCATAACTTTGTGAGTCTAAATTCAATACTTACTTTAGGAGTTGAATTGATCAGAATCTGTTCCTCTTTTTGAGATGTTATCAGAGGCACTCTGCATATTGGCTCTGCCTCTCGTTCTTTTTTTAGCAAAGCTTGTTCACAGGCACCAGCTAGCTCAGATATACAGTAATACTTAGCCTCTGCAAGTAGTTCAGCCATTTCTTTGCAGTTGTCTGGAAGTGGTACTAAACCGTCTCTAAGAAAATTCAAAATTGCTCCGAAATGTTTTCCACAGCGATCAATCAAAATCCACCCTGCAAAATATACTATATGATAGCATAGTTCAAATATGCAAAAGGCTATGCATTCTTTGCTGAGATAGATTCTAAGGGTTATGAGAAGTGACTGCTGTGTTTTAAATGTCTGTGATTTAAAAACAATTATTCTTCTACTGAGCTAAATGTAATTTTACTTTAAATGTTTACAAGTTTCTAACTTTGATTAGAAGAAAATGTTATAAGCAGGGTTAGAATAAAAGGAGAATTCAATCTTTCCTTTTTATAGAATTTTGCCATTAGGGAAAAGCTATTATTGTAGTTGGCACGTTTAGACCTAGACCCAGGGCCAATTTACTTTCTCATTTTGATGTCACTATTTATTTGTTTAAGTTTTTATATATGTAGGCCTACAGGCCCTATGAGTCCGTGAACAATATAAATCAAGTAATTTCTGTACGATTTTGATTAAATTTTGTATGAATGTTTAAGGATGGATAAACTTGAATGTGTTCGCGAACTAGCAAGATTGGGCATTGAATGGAGTGTTATAGGGGATTTAAAAATTTCCAAAAATTGTTTTTATCATAATTTATGCCCTTAACATATAAAAATATAATTTCATTGCAGCCATCGTGTAGAGCTAACAAAAACAAAGGATTTAGGCCTATTATATTGAAGCGTTATTATTTAAGGTTAGGGATAAAATTCCAAAAAATTGCACATTTAAAATTCTTATTCTTATAGAAAAGTTAACTGTTTTAGTGTTAGGCCTATAGTTGGCTTGTTAATGGATAAATTTTGATAAAATTTATCAAATTTATTTATTTCATAGGTATAAGTTACCAAAATTGCCATTAGACCATAAGCATTGACTATTGGATAAAGGCCTAAACAAAAAATGTCAAGAAATAGTATTTAGCCTATATTTTTACATTTGGACTTCACATAAACATATGGTTTGAATTAAATTAATGCAAGTTTTTGCATAGTAACTGAGAAATCTATCATTTCAGCCTCTGGATTGCTTATATAATCAAATAAATAAATAGTAAAGTCTTACCTTAGCAATCCTTGTTATGGTCGGACCACCATAACAAGGATTGCTAAGGTAAGACTTTACTATTTATTTATTTGTAACAAGAAAGTTTTTGTGTTTTGGGCTTAGGACTCATGGACATCAAGCCAGTGTCTTATGAAGTTCTTACTGATGTAAAATTTTTTTTTCTAAATAATTTATTGTAAAATGAAGTTAGTTCTATAGGCTAACTTGGTTATGTTCTCACTTCTATGCCAGTAAAAGTAAAACTCAAAGTAAAATCTCCACATGTTAAATGGGCCCAGGCGGAAATAAAAGTGAGGCTTAAAACATAGTAAAAACATATCAAGAAAGTTTTTGTGTTTTGGGCTTAGGACTCATGGACATCAAGCCAGTGTCTTATGAAGTTCTTACTGATGTAAAATTTTTTTTTCAAAAACTGTTCATGACTTTAGAAGATGTAACAACGAATCAATATTTAACCAAGTGCAAGCTCTTACATTGCCCGTATTAGATGACTTGCATGACTGCGAACAGTCATTCAGCCTTTTTTGCAGTCAGCTGTCTCACATCATAACGCTGAATACACCCATGAAGAGAGTTCAAACATCTAGTTTCCCTAAATGGTTTTCCAAGGACCTGAGAAATCTAGTCATCATGAAGAAGATTGCCCATAGGAATTTCAAGACTTCTGGAAACCCTATTGATCTAGAACGGTTTCGATGTATGCGGAGGCAATGCAAACTCCTGGCTGGAAATTGCTATGCATGTTACATTGGTAGGGTTGAGGACAGCATTCCTCATAACATCAAATCCTTTTGGTCGCATGTCTCCAGCCTGAAAGGCGCATCCAGTCTCCCACCGAAGATGGCCCTAAATGATAGAGTGGCTGAAGACCCAAGTGAAAAATGCAACCTTTTTGCTGGTCACTTTTCTTCAGTGTTTGGTGTCAGTGATGTTCCAATTCCTGTCTTCAATTTCGCTACTAGTGACTCCCTTTCTTTGATCAAAATATCAGCCACTGAGGTTCAATCGAGGCTTGACGAACTCGACCCATCCAAAGGCCCTGGTCCAGATGGCATACCCCCAGCTGTTCTGAAACTCTGCTCTCCTGTTCTTGCCGCTCATTTGGCCGTCCTATTCAATGCCCTACTTTTCTCTGGTATCTTTCCATCAGCCTTAAAACAAGGCTTTGTCGTACCGATCTACAAGTCTGGTGACCGAAGTAGTATTTCAAATTATAGACCAATTGTGATCCAATCGGCTTTGGCCAAGGTTTATGAGTCTTTGGTCTTGGACCATCTCTATGCTTATTTGAAAAAATATATTACTCGTAATCAGCATGGTTTTCTAAGAGGCCGCTCCACCATTACTAACCTACTATCATTTCAAGAATATGTTTCATCAGGATTCACTAGTTCAAGGCAGGTTGACTGCATATACTTGGATTTTTCCAAGGCTTTTGATAAGGTTCATCATGGTTTGTTGATCGCCAAACTTGCTGGTTATGGCATTAGTGGTCCATTGATCAAATGGTTGGAAAGCTACCTAAAAGATCGTCACTTGATTGTCAAGTGTAGTGGCACCTTCTCTTCGCCCTTCAATGTTCTCTCCGGTGTTCCTCAGGGCTCTCACCTCGGTCCACTACTTTTTAATACATTCATAAATGACATAATTGGTGTACTGACGTCGGACTGCTTGATGTTTGCTGATGACCTCAAGATATTTTCCCGGATCTCCTCATCCTTAGACCATGAACATCTCCAACGATCTCTCACCAACGTTGAGACGTGGTGCAATGAAAATGCAATGGAACTCAATGTTTCTAAGTGTCATGTTGTCTCATTCACAAGACTTGTAACATGTAGCACCTTCGACTACAAAATTGGTGGTGATATTCTGAGACGTGAGGATCGTGTGAGGGATCTTGGTGTCATACTTACTTCTACCTTGAGTCCTGCTGAGCACATCATTCATATTATCGCAAGAGCTAATTCCATCTTAGGATTCATCCTTAGATCATCAAGAGACTTCAAGTCCCCACAGTCACTTCTAGTGTTATATAAGACCCTAGTGCGACCAGTTTTGGAGTATGGCTCTATTATCTGGTCACCATATCAGCTTGGCCATATTGAAATGATAAATAAAGTACAGTTACGCTTCCTCCGAGTCCTAGGTGTCCGACTGGGCTATGAGTATCGTGCCCCACCAATCTTGGAGCTTCAGGAGCGCTTCAACGTCCAACCTCTCCATCTCAGAAGAAAGCTGCACGACATCCTTTTTTTGTTTAAACTGGTCCGTAGTGAGATCGATTCTACTGATCTACTGGAGGGAATTAATTTCCTTATACCGAGAGGAACACGATCTTCGGATACATTTGCTCACCTGTACTTACCAACTAACTACTCTCTCAATTGTGGATTGGCCAGATTGCAGCGTCTTGGAAACGAAGTCGGGTCACAAGTTGACTTCTTCAATGAACAGTTGTCTTCCTTCAGAAGAAAATGCTCCAACATTATCTTTGTTGGGCCTGTTTTGTAGCTGATGTTTGTTTGTTTTTCCTAAATCTCTTTCATTCTTGTTATTCATTCATAGATTTATTGTTGTTTGTTGTTATTTTTTCACGTTGAACTTAATGTCATCATAGTTTATATTTTGTTAAATCTTGAGGAGATATTTGTTGTTGTTGCTTTCAAAATCATATGCTTTTTCTGAAGTCCAAATTAATATTAATTTTTTTTTTTGTTATTATCTGTACAATACTTTGTTAATGTTATTATCTGTAATTTTTTGCCACGTTGTTGTTTTCTTGTTATAATTTTGTTGCAAAGCTGCTTTGTTTCATGGTCATTATGTTACTTATCTTGTATTTTTTTTTGTTATCTTTTCATTCTGCTCATGTGCTTAAAACACGACATATTTTGTAAATGGTGTATCCGTTGATATGAATAAATAAATAAATATCAAGGAAGGGATTGTTGTTTGTAAATATCAAGTTGATAGGTTATTTGATAAAAATAACCAGTTTCGAACCATCAAAAAGCTACATAATATTCTCAGGTTCTAACGAGCAACCTTATATGGATAAGTAAACTAGACATGCCTTATTATTGACCTTCCAGCTACCCAACTATTTTTTGTAACGACCCGGTAATCAGGATTTAGGTGTTGGTCGTGTGGATTCACTGGTTGTAAGTTAAGCTACAACACAAATAATTTGTTTTCATGTTATGTCATTTAAGCTAAAGCTAAATTTGAACATAGGCCTACTGGTAAGTTATGAATTATTCTTTAAGGTATGGCCTAGGCCTATAATTGCCATGACCTGTTTAACTTAATAACAGTATAACAAGGGAGAAGTGCTGTATTAGCGAATTTCCCTATAGGGAAGTAGCTATTACCGTAGGTCTCATGGTAAGACCTAAGCCCGGGACCGATTTACTTTTTCATTTTGATGTCCCCAGAGGCCAAAAACACCATTCGTTCAAATTTTTATATATCTATATATATATATATATATATATATATATATATATATATATGTGTGTCCATCCGCACGATAACTTGAGTAATTGTTGTCCGATTTTGATAAAATTTGGTTTGAAGGTGTAAGGCGGGATAAACTTGAATGAGTTCGCGAACCAGCATGATCGGACTATGGGAACGGGGGTTTATGGGGGGTTTTATGGGGTAAAAATAGGTTTTTCCCATTTTTGACCCTAAAAACACAAAATTTTGCAATTTCTTTTCAAACCATTTTGTAGAGCTTAAAAAAACAAATAATTTAGTATATTGAAGTATTATTATGCGCCTAATTGTTACGGAGAAAATTCAAAAAAATTGTAATTTTAAAATTCCCATGTTATTCTTATGGAGAATAAGTCAACTGTTGTAGTTTGCTTGTTTATGAACATATTTTGATAAAAGTTGGAAAATACATTAATTTCTTACTAAACCACAGTAACTTTTAATATTCTACATAAAAAAAACCTTTTCACCCTCCCTGTTGCAGCAAACCTAAGTACTCATTAAACTAATTCTGTTTAAATAGGGAATAAATGTGATATTTTTAAGGAGACATTTTAGTTTAAATCCAATCAGGCAAATGGAAATTCGCTAAGTCTGCAGGTTTGCTGCGGCGGGGGTATTTATTTTTCTCTGCCTTGCATGGCTTGCAGCATGTAGTTTTCATTTTTTTTCATTTTTAGTATGCATGCATTGCTTTGCATGTTTTATATTGATTGAGATCCTGCATGTGTTTATTTCAGCTTTTAATTTAATTTTGTTAGTCAAGAGTGCAAGAAGAAGCTTGGCATGTTTATTTATTATTTATTGTAGGCCTATTGTTTGACGTAGCCTATTGTCTGCATGAACTGAATGGCCAAATAAATCATTTGAATCATTTTTTACTGAAAAATAATCTAGTTTAGAGAAATTTAGGCCAAAAAGGTACCAGTGGTAGGCTACAACATTAGTGGCCAATCCTAGGCCTAACCTTATTGTTTAGGAACTGGCCTATTAAGTTACATAGGCCAATTGGCAGTAGCCTAGACCAATTAATGCTTACCAATCTAGCCTGTCTTACCTTCAGAGTCAGTCAGAACCTCCATTCTTCCACTAAACATAGCTCTAAGCATAGTGTCATGTTTGGTTAGTGTTCCAATCGTTGTGTAGTGCAATGAACCACCAATATTTAGTTTAACGTACTGGGAAGGATTGCCTTTGATTACAGTTTTATGATCACCAGACATTATCTTTCAAACAAATACTTTGGTAATCTCTAGTCATAGCAACGATTCAACAGTAGAAATATATTGCTTCATCGATCGATGCTTCATCGTAGTTAGGCCTAAAAATTAGGATTTAACCGAACTTACATTCAATTAAATACCAACTATTGCATTCCGTTTTACAACATAATAATGATTGATAATTACAAAGTAATATATGTCTATTTAGATCACCACACTAATTCTAAATTCTACTGATTTCTTGGGGCCTAAATGTAAATGTAAATCTAAGTGCTCATACTACTTCTACTACTACTAAACATACGATACGATACAATGAACAATGACCATGACATACGACAAAACTAAAACTAAAAAAAACTATTCATTTTGATTTTCACTTCATTATTCTATTCATTACATTCTCCAAACCCAAACTGAAACCGAATACCGAACCGACTAACCACTAACTGGACCAAAACCAAGACGACGGACGACCATAGGATAGCGCTGGGTTCACAACGATATGGTAGGCATTCGGTTAAATATCGAGCTTGTTTTCTACCGGATGACAGACATCGACTTTTTAGACGAGACCTTCAGACCTAGACCACCGACCTACGGCTGTTCAACGTATCGTTGCGGTCACTGAGCTAGCGGTAATGGTGTTCGCTCGAGCAGTGGTGGGTGGTGGTGGGCGGTGGCGGTCTGTCGGCAAGGGTTAATCTTTTACGAATCGGCTCTGGCTCACCGGCTGTCTCATGGTGGAAGTCTATTGCCTTGGTGCCTTCTGCTGCAGCTGCTCCTAGCTCATATGTCTGTCGTCAAACGTCATAATGTGGCCTTGACGACGGAAGGCCATAATTTAATTCACAATCAGTGAGAGTGAATGCAAATAAATAAGTACAACATAATATCTGAACCTGGCATAAAATTTGCCAATGAAAATGTTTATTATCCAATTACAGTAAGGCTAATAACCAGCATGATGAATATATATATAGTTATTGATAAAGAATTTAGTAGGTTTAATTCGGTCTTCATATTACCGATTCTGTGGCTCACCGGCCCACCTAATTAAGAACATTATTAGTTACCCACCTAGATGAACTCATTTTAGGTAAAACTTTGATTTATTTACTTAAATAAAGATTAACATTAATAAAAACCTAAAAGTATAAGTAAAAAGTGGCAAAGCAATTGGATAGGATAGGATAGGACTATACGATTACCGGTAGGCATATGATATGATCTAAATCAAAATGCGAAAACGAAAACGTTGAGTTGAGTTTGAATAATGTTGGTTGTCGTTGTAGGGAAATATTGTGTATTATTGTTTAGTCCCGGATGTGACTCATGGTTATGCAGGTTTGGGATTGGTTGAGCCGTGAATGGGAGCTGCGCGCGCATCTCGTCACAGGTGATTTTGTAACAGATATCGTCATTTGTCAGAGAGAACTACGCGACGGCGCCGTCCGGTGACAGTAACAGTACTAACAGTTTTCGAGGAGCGCCTTACCGCTGTCACCGATATTCCAGTCACCGTATTTTCGAGCCTCTTGTCACCGATATTTCAATGACAAACCGGAAAATATCGAACATCCCTAGCTGCAATGTAATAAGAATAGGCTAAGGTTATTATTGCTGTCAGTCAATTCCAATTGGTACTTGACTTTTCACTTTTCACTCTTGTCAGTTGTTGTGCATCGTAAACATGTCCAAAATATTTACACCAACTAATCAAATAAGATTAACGAATGTCGCTGTTGTCAGGATGAAAAAAGGTGGCAAAAGATTCGAGATTGCCTGTTACAGAAATAAGGTGGTCTCATGGAGGAACAATGTGTAAGTAGGCCTAACTTTAACTTGGTTAGGCTAGGTGAGGTACTAGGTAGGCTTTTAGCGTTGAATAGCCTAGTCAATGCTTTAATAATAATAATAAATGGTCTTTATTCAGCAAGCGTTTTTCAGATATTTACAATTCTGCTTTACAAAACAACTCTTGTCATTAACCTACTTAAATTATAAATAAAAACAAACAATCTAAAAACAATATAAATAATCAATCTTCTCTGTGGTGGTACAATGTAAAAACAATCAATGATAGCGAGCTTTAATAACAATCTATAAAAATAATCTATAAAACAATCCATAAAACAGTCTATAAAATCAATCTATAATTTAACAATCTTAAAACTATCCAAAAATCAACTATGTACAACAACACAATGTTTGTAGCAAAGAACTCAAAACTCACCCAAATATGCTTTTAATCTTTTTTTGAATGAGTTAAGAGTGTTGGCCCCCTTTACCTGATTAGGGAGAGCATTATACAAGGCGGGACCGAAGTATGAGAAGGCGCGCCTCCCCACCTCATGCCTGACTCTGCGAAAGTGTAACAAATGGAGTGGAACTAGTGAAGTGTATGTGCTTCAAGTTGAAGATAAACCATAGGCCTACAACATTGGGACAATTAATCAGTATTGGGCATATGAAAAAATAGGCCTACCATAACTAGGCCTAGGCATGTTCTGATGTTCCTGTTAACTAGCCTACCTAGGCCTACATTGTTTTCATAGACAGTATAGATGATCTTTAACATGCTCCCAATTCTTGAAAATATGAAGCAATAAATAGATTTGTATAAGGGCGATTCCACCGTTAAGTGTGTGACATTCGCAGACAAAAATCCAACTTTATTGTTTAAATTCCACCACTAAATGCAATAATTGACACACAAAGTTGTATGACAAGTTACATTAGAGACGTATTTCCAAAGAGTGGGAGACGTATTATTGCCGAATAGGCAAGTCTTAAGCTGAGATGACACACTCAGGTAGGCTGTTATAATGAAAATAAGGAACAGCTTGGGACCCAGGATGTACCCTTGCTCTCTTGATCAGGGCTTTTTGAGAAGCATTTTGTCTCAGATAACCAGCCCCATCAACATTAGGTATGGAATCTGACTATTGCCTTTCCACCAAAAAGGAAGCAAACCAATCTAGCGCCACTCCCCTGATTCCCAAGACAGACATTCTTTTCAAAAGTAAAGTAAATCATGGTTTACCATATCAAATGCCTTGCTTAGGTAAAAAAATTTGCCTGTTACATACTGCCTGTTGGCCAATTCTTTCACTAAGTTATCTTGTTTACTAAGCTAAGGATGGCACTTGTAGTTAATTTATTCTTTAAAAATCCATTTTGGTTAGTGACAAGTATTTTATATGTTTCAAGTAAGTCATATATAGTCTATTCAAAACAGCTTTTAAAATAATTTTGGACATTGTAGACAGCAGACTGATAGGCCGATAGTAATTGCAAAAGGTTTCATCTCCTTTCTTAAAAACCGGTATTACCACTGCCACTTTCAGAGCTGATGGAAATGTCCCCTCAACAAAAGAATGGTTTACTAGGTGGCATAATTGTCTAGCCACATATTCACCGACCGACTTCAGAATTTAGGAGAGATGTCATCAACTCCAGCCGACGTTTTACTTTTCATTGAATTAATAATACTTTTATTTATGTGACGGGGGCAAGAAAACATTACTGAGCTTTGTGTGTATCGTTTGTTATTAAATAATGTTTTACTTTGCTTGGCAAATTATCCCCTATAATGGTGAAATGCTTGTTGAGTGTTTCACATTCTTTTTCTGGCTTGCTTACTTCTTCTCCTTTTCTATTTACAAGATGGATAGTTTTCCACTCTTTTTCTTGTTTTCGTCTATTGTCATTAACTATCCCCTAGATGGTTTTACTTTTGTTTTCTGATTTAATCTGAGGTAATTCTAGTTTAGGAAATGGTCAGAGCTAAGATATACTGTACTAGCTGAACCCGGCAGACGTTGTCTTGCCTTTGACTATTTATCATTTAAGTACCGTAACGTTTAATTGTCTTATTTTATATGAAGTGCTTATAACTAAATTAAAATACTTACGACAACTAGTGAAACACATATAGTACAAAGGATAACCAATTCTTTATTATTGCTCTTATATTAATGCTAGTGGGTAGACAATATTTTTGGTCTTTCTATTCGGCTCAATCACGTCCTGGTTGAAGTTCGTTCGATACGCTCACTCACCTTTAGGTTTGAGCTCGTTCGCTACGCTCACTCACCTTTAGGTTGGAGCTCGTTCGCTGCGCTCACTTGCCTTCAGGTTAGCTCGTTCGCTACGCTCACTTGCCTTCAGGTTAGCTCGTTCACTACGCTAACTCGCCTCCAGGTTGAAGTTCGTTCGCTATGCTCACTCACCTTTTGGTTGCAAATTAGCTGTTGTCATAAATGTAAAAGAAATAATAGTGCTGCACCCTGTTGGTAATCCTTGTAACTTTAATGCTATTGAACATCATAGAACAGAACCAACTTGTTTAATTGAAACAGCTGTTAAGATTCATTAATTCCATTTCTCATAAGGTTAACATTGGAAACTCCAGAGCCACTGGGGCGGAGCCGATTGGACGGATCACGAAATTGATGGTGTATAAACCTATTCCATGAAATTCTACACGTATGTACCAAGTTTCGTGGCAATCGGTTCAGCGGTGTCTGAGTTCATCACTGCCAAATATATATACAAACATCCTCTTTTATACTTATAGATTTAATTTTCTCGTATAGTGCGAAGCATTTGTTTTTTACTTTCTTCCCCTATATAGTATATGGAGAAAGTTGGTATTGTTTTAGTGAAAATTTTTAGTTTTGAGTGGATATATCTGTTTTAAGTCCCCCTGAATCCAAAATAGTGGTTTTCTAAGTGATGTCTAGGTCTGCCTGTATGTGTGGATGTGTTCAGAGCTACAAACCACACCTGTTGTCCGATTTTTGTGAAATATGGTATGTAGGCATTAATCCAAGGTATCTCCAAAAATTTTATTCATTTTTTTTAAATTTTAATTTTTAACTGTGATTTTTTCATAAAATAACGGAAAAATCGGAATTTCTCAAAAACGATTTTGATGAAAATGTAGTAAGATTAAGCTATGTGTTGTAGTCCTTTAAATTCAGAACAAGATGGTACAAATCCTATTTCTGTAAAAATTGTGGTTCAAAAGTTATTGCAACTTACGGTATGTTATTTTTCCATTAAAAAAAACGTAAATTTTTTTGTAAAATGTTAATAGTTTAGTAAGAAATAAATGAATTTTACAAATTTGATCAAAATATGTTTATAAACAAGCAAACTACAACAGTTTACTTATTCTCCAGAAGAATAACATCGGAATTTAAAATTATTTTTTTTTTGAATTTTATCCGTAACCATTAGGCGCATAATAACCTTTCAATATCTATATATTAATTTGAAACTGGTTTTCTTTGTCACAGCTATTTTGAGAGAAC